AATAGAGTTTTCATCGAGTCATTCTTTAAAAAAAGAAAAGAGAAAGAAATGTCGCATCGCACATGAGCTCAGAGGAGCGTGCCTTGCTCATGAGTGGCCCTGGCCGGCAGGCCTGCAGACCCTGGGACCTGCCCTGCCTCCCGGCTCCCCCAGACGTGTCTGGTGTCCCCCGCCCCCACACTGATCTTTCCTGCTCGCTGGCTCTTCTTTCCAGTAAAACCTTGAATCTTTAATAAATCAACATGCCTTCTCGTCCGTCTGCCGGCGCCAGAGCTCAGTGTTGGCAGGCGTTTCCATTCCCTCGTGGCCCTAATAGAGCTGGCTATTTGATTAATCTTTTAGATCCCGCAGAGAGCCCACTGTCTGAGCTGACTCTCCGCGTGCTGTCCGGCTCTCAGGGTTCTCTCGGCCTCTTGGCCGGCCGTGCACGCAGCGACTCGGGCGCAGGGCTCAGCGGCAGGCGGGACCTGCCAGCACCAGTGCCGCGCTCCTGGGCTTGAACCCCGGGGAGTTCACAGTGGGCGCTGGGGACAAGCACCAGGTGAGGAGCCAGGGGACCTGGGCTCCATCGTCTCAGTCACTCACCAGGTGTGTGACCCTGAGCAAGAGTCTGAGCCTCAGTTTACCTCATCTCTAGTGGGTGTTCTCGAAGTCTGCTGTGATGGTCAGATGAGGCAAGGGGTGAGTCTGGGCACCCTGAGCCGTGAGCAGGGGCGGGAGGAATGTCCTGTGATGTGTGAGACAGCACCCGCCGCCTGCCCTCCCTGGTCTGTGCGCGCTGGGGGTGCTCACGGGATTCCTGCCCAGCCTCAGTAGAGCCCCCCTCCCCTTCCCCTGCAGGCACAGGAGGCCGGAGGGCTCAGAGTCCAGGAGCACAACCGCCCAGGCTGCAACTGATACCTGCCGTGTCACCACGGTCAGGCCAGCTCAGGAGGCTGAGCTGGGTCATCCCCACAGTCACCTCCTTTCCTAAAGCACGAGCTTGCGATTCCAGTCAACACGCACTGGGCACTGCACGGAGGCTGCTCAGCCGCTCCGCAGTTGTGACGACGACTGGAGCAGCCACTTACTCAGCACCTGCTAAGCACCCAGTGCTCTGCACACGTTATCTGCAGTCTTCTCAACAGAGTTTGTACTTAGCCACCTTTTACAGGTGACAATATTGAGGCTCAGAGAAGGTAAATGACAGGCCCAAAGGTGCACAGCCAGTTCTTGGCACACTCAGACTGAAATGCAGGCTTTGGAGTCGAGGTTCTGCTCACTAACATTGATGCGTATTCTCTGATCTCTCCTCCTTGTCTTGCCTCCTGTGGCCATTACGCGCTGGGGGGACAGGGTAGAGCCACTTGCCAAAGGCGACTTTCCAGCCCACGGAAGCTCTGGATCCACCCAGCAGGCTGGGTCGTCTGCAGATTTGCACTGATGTTACAAATAATAGTAGTTACTATTTGTCAAGCATCTGTTATTATCTAACAAAGTGACAGTCTAGGGGAAAAAATCTTCAAGTTAAGAATTATCTCCACTTTCTAGCTGAAGAAACCGAAGCTTAGCAAAGTAAAGTTGGACGCCCAGTGACACAGTTGAGCCTCAGCTGCAAAATGGTATTTGTGACATTCCACTGAAATGAATGATGCTTATTGAGAGTGGGCCCACCCCGTTTTACAGAGGAGGAGACAGCAGCCTGGAGTGAGGTGATTTGCTCAGGTCCCATAGCTGGTCCTTTGTGTCCTGACCCCAGGCCGGGATTCTGTGAACTACCTCACTTAGCCTGAAGGTCCAGATCTGTGCCTGTGCCTGGCATCCTGTGCCGTTTGTCTGTCTGCCCCTGCCTACCTCACCCGTGAGACCCGCACTTCCTCCTCCACCCAAGGCAGGGTTGCACCTCTGCTCACTGTGTGTTCATGCTTCTGCATCATGTTCTAACACACCTGCCATCCTAGCTGGTGCCTTCAAGGCAGGGACAGTGGCTCCTGTCCCCAAAAGCTCTCTAAGCAGACAACTCGCAGTACCACCCTCCCTCCCCAACTTGCCCCCGAAGAACTTACATCACAACAGCTGCCTCCCAGCATGTGGAAGGGGAAGCCATTTCCAAGGCAGTGCCCAGGGCCTGACCCCTCGAGGGGGTTTCAGGGAATCTTCCCCCCATGACAGGGGCCACCACAGATAGGAGAAGCTTGGGTCTTGGCCACTGGACACACCCTAGTCCTGGCAATGTTCTCAGAAGCAGCCTTCTGAGTTGCTGAGCTCAAGCTCTCTCTTTTGTCCCCTGTTTCTGATGGAGAGACCAGCGGCTCTATTGTCTGACTTATGAGGGACAGATGGTTTCCCCCCTCCCTGACATCACCTGTTCCCCTTGGTGCTGACTGTGCTGGCTGCCTCCCCCTCTGCTCCGGCTTAAGCCCCTCCCTGCCCTCACTAACCCTCGACCTACCAACCAAGGCCCCCCACTCCACCTCGACTGGCTGCCTGCCCTGCCCCCTCCCCACTGCTCCTGAGTCAGGTCTGTGTCCAAAGACAGGCAAGTCCGACCATCACACAGGGGGCCATTTCAAGGCATTTTCTGTCTCTTTTTATAATAGTTATCTGATGCACAACAAATCAGTCCTGATTAAACTTAGTGGCTTAAAACAACAGGAGCCATTCATTGATTATCTTCACTGTGTCTGTGGGTCAGCAGTTCGGAACCTCTTGGCTGGGCGGCGGTTCTGGCTCAGAGTCTCGCTGAGCTACAGCTGGAAGCCCACTGTAGCTGCTGCCATCTGAAGGCTTGCCTGGAACTGGTGGACCCACTTCCAAGGTGGCTCATTCCTGTGGCTGGCAAGTTGGTGCCAGCTGTGAGCAGGTGGCCACAGTTCCCCTCCACAGGGTTGTGTAGTGTCCTCTCAGCCTGGCAGCTGGCTCCCCTCTGGGCAGCCAAGGCAGAGCCTGCAGTGCTTTTATTATTTAATTTCAGCAGTCGCAGTGTCACTTTCACCATATTCTATCGGGCACATGAACTGCCCTGATTCACTGAGGGAGGCATAAAAACCGGCAGGTGAGAGCCACTGGAAGCCATCTGGGAGGCTGGCTGCCACACCTTGGAAAACTAGAAAAGGCTAATCTTCAGCTGACCCAGGCATGGATTTCCTGATTTGCCTTCTCCCTTTCTCCATAAATGGGCATCCGGCATGCTTAAGTCCTGGTCTAGGGATGTAGACATGGACAAGGCCATGGTCCCTTCCTAGATGAACTCATAGTGGGAGAGACAGTCTTGACACAAGAAGTGCTAAAAAGGAGATATGTACAGAATTATGGGAGCACAAAGGACAGGCCCTTACCTACCTGGGACAGTATAGAACACCTTTGCAGCAGTGAGGACATCTGCTCTTGCTCTGGGACGAAGGGTGAATAGGAGCTCCTTGGGTGAAGGAAGGAGGCAGGACGTTGCTCCGTGCAGAGGGGACAGTATGTGCAATGGCAGAGAGTTGTGGTGGCAGATGAGACTGTGATTATGGAAGATCTTGAAGACTGTGATAGGGAGTTTGGACTTTATACATCAGGGCCTGCAGGAGGGATTCAGGCCAGAGGAGAGCCTGGCAGACCCGGGTGGTGGACAGGACGGGACTGGCAGGACGGAGGCTGGAGGCGGGGAGGCTGGCAGGAGGCTGCTGCAGTGCTCCCAGGAGGAGTAAAGAATTGACGAGTTTGGCCGTAGAAATAAGTGATGCATTCAGGAGGTGAAGCTAAAAGGACATCATGAGGAGTTGCCTCTGTAGGGAGAGGGGACAGGTCTGAAGGTCATGGCTTCCCCTTCCCACTGTCTCTGGGCCTGGCCCCTTCCTTCCCTAACTCTCGGCTCTTCGTGGATGAGCCCAGCCCGGCCCATGCTGGTCCTGAGCAGAACAGCCTGGCGTCCTCCGAACGAGTCCTGGCACCAGCACCATGCTCTAAGGCGTTCAGAGTTACCAGGGGCTGCAAAGAGACATCAGGCCCATTGGCCTGGGACTGAGGATCTTAAGTATTTTAGGCCACAGATTTCTTTTATAATCTAGTGAAAACTCTTTTCAAGGAAAAAAATGCACATTTTCACACACAGTTTGCAAGCAATTTTAGAGGGCTCACCTGCCCTTGAAGCCGGTCCCTGGATCATTAGACGCCACATTAAAAGCCCAGGCCTAAGAAAAAAAAATGGGAAAGTGAAAAGAGTAAATGTTTGACTCCCCAAAAGTCTGCTATTTACCTCCTCTTGAATACCCCCCCATTAATTGGACAACCCCTGAAATAGCAAGAAACAGGAGGAAGCATTTACCCAGTGATAGCCCCGGTGGCACCAGCCTCACTCAGCGGGTTTATTTTCATTATTATAGTAATTTTCGGGCTGCAGGCTACAATTTTCACTTGCAGCGAGGTATTAAATTGAAATTACCCCAGATGTAATTGTCATACAGAATAATCCTGGAGACATGGGAGTGAATGCTTTTTCAAGATGGGGTTTTATTGCTTATACTGGGGTTTGGGGCTCCACCTCTCTAAACACGCCAGATCCAGGCGTGTGTGGCAGAGGCCGGGGCAGCGCGGCACGGCGGGCTGGAGCTGTTGGCCCAGAACACGGTGAAGCATGTGCCCACTGGCCAGTGGCTCAAGAGGAAAAGCTGGAAGGACACCAACTGGGGAGCAGAGCCCAAGACTTGGGGTTGGGTTCATGTGGCTGGTAGGGACCACTGTGCTCTAACTCGGGTGTGCAAGAAATGCCACATTTATTTTCTGTGTATCACCTTGATTTGGCTCCAAGCCCAGGTTCCCCCAAGGTGGTGGGAAATGGGGCTTCAGTCATTCTCTGAGCTCCCTGGCACCTCTTAGGGCCCAGTGAGGCCCTGGGGTCTTACCCAGTGCTCTGCAGCTGGGGAGGCCCCTCCAGACACCCAGTGTCTGTCAAACTGGCAACCAGCCAACACCTGTGTTTCTTGCCCTTCAGGTCTGCTTTTCCCCCCAAAGTCTCACTTCTGCCTTTCCTTCCCCAGATGCACCCTGCTGGTGTATTACACGGACCTCCCCCCCACCAGCATCATCATCACCTTCCACAACGAGGCCCGCTCCACCCTGCTGAGGACCATCCGCAGGTGAGGGCGCCGTTCCAGTCCACCGGCCAGCTCCAGGCCAGCACGGGCGGGGCCTGTCTGCTCACCGGTGCCGGGCCTGTGCTGGGAACGCCGGGCACTGTTGTACACCTCACACCGTCCACTCAGCCCCCGCTCACTTTCCTATGAGGGAGGCTGTTGCCCCACTTCATAGGGAGAAAGGTCCGGGGTGTCAGGTAACCTGCGGAAGGTCTCTCGGCCCTTGGCCCTCTCTGCTGCGCTAGACTACCTCTAGAGCAGGGGTCCCCAACCTGTGGTGAGTTGTGTACTTATTCATTACATATTACAACGTACTAATAATAGAAATAAAGGGCACAATAAATGTAGTGTGCTTGAATCACCCCAAAACCATCTCCTCCCTCCCCAGTCCATGAAAAGTTATCTTCCATGAAAATGGTCCCTGGTGCCAAAACAGTTGGGGACTGCTGCCCTAGAGCATGGGCTCCAACTTTCACAACTGTGGGAGGACCTGGGGCCCTGGGAGGCCGGGTGCACAGCCCAGCCCCAGCATCGCGATGGGGTTAGAACTCAGGTCTGCCAGGGGCCGCCCCCCAGCCCCCTGCCACTCCACCTCCTGCACACCTGCCCGGGGCGGTGCTGATGCAAATCAGAACAGCCTGCAGGCATCGCGAAGATTTGCCATCCAGGCCATCTGCCTTGTGCTCCAGCCCCATTCTCCCTGGAGACTCAGTCCACCCTCAGTGCCTCGCTCTAAGGGGTGCATCCTGCTCTGTGTGGCCTGAGTCGTGCATGGATTTTTGATAGACCCGAGTCCCAGCGCCAGCCCCCAGCAGAACTTCCCTCAGAACAGACCTGCACCCGGAAGGAAGGCTTCCCTGGCATTTCCTCCCCCGGGTTCTCCAAAGGCCCTGGCTGTTTCCCTCCCCTCTTCTCCCGGTGTCCTCCCACCCCAGCATCTGCCTCACCGTGAGTCCCGCTCTTATGCAGACGGGCGTTGGCCGTGCTCAGCTGGGGAGGGGCGAGGCCCTTGCCATGCCCACCTTACAGCTGAGGAAACAGAGTGGCGATGCTAAATCAAGGCGCAACGTCGCGCAGCTAACAGTAGTGACGCAGGATTCCAGCCCCTGCACTCTGACCCCAAAGTCCTCCTCGGCAGCCTGAGTAGGGCAAGGCTAGTCCCAGTGGCGGCATGCAGCGTCGCTGGGCAGCAGGGCACCACAGCCACGCCCACAGCAGGTGAGAACCCTCGGTACCTCCACACCCCTGCGAGACACGGTTCGTTAGCATCTTCCTGGATCTGTTGGGCAGCACTTCGGATGGTCTCCTGACTCCACAGAGAAGGAAATAAGATTAAATATGGGCCAAAGAAAGTGCACCAAGCACAGCAAAATCTCTTGTCATTTCCATCAAACGAGGCACATTTTCCTGCCTCCCTCCCACACCCTCATGGCTGCGGGCAGGCAGGAATCTCCAGGTGATAGAAGTAAGTTCTTCAGTGGGCTCCCCCCGAGGGAACATCTGCAGCCCCACCTGTCACTAATGATGAATGTCCACTGTGCACAGTCAGCAGGTCCTGCAGAAACACAGGGAGGGACCTGTCCCGACACAAGGCTTTCAGCTCGCTGCTTCTGCTCATGCAAGGGACAGCTCTGTCTGCTGCCCAGAAGTCCCTGGCCACTGGCGAGCTGGCTCTGTCCTCCAGCTGCGTGCCCGTCCTGGCTTCTGCATTCACCTTGCAAGCTGCCAGATTCGAATTTGATTTCCCAACAAGGCAACAGCTCTTGACAAGAAAATATGCCAAGTCACTGTCAGGTGTCAACCGTGAGTCTCACGGTAGATTAATAAAGTGCCTGGCTGATTTATAAACTGGTGTGCGTATGTGCAGGGGACATGGATGGGGAGGTACGATGTACCTGTGTCTGCTCTGGTGAGGGGAGATCGGAATGTCTGGGCCTTCTGGGCTGAGCAGACGCATGGTGGAGCAGAGGTGCCAGACCACTGCCCCAGCCCCCCACACCCTCAGGATCTGCTTGGGCATGGGGTAGGGGAGAGGGGGAGACGGGGCAGGGAGGGGCGGGTGCAACAAGCCAGTGGCAGGCTCTGCCTTCTCTGCCACCACCCATGCTGGCTGTGCCACAGGTCATGACCGGGTATGTCTGCTAGATGTTCCCATGGGGACACTATTAGCATCTGAGAGAGGTTCCTGGATGTCCAGGCTGGTCTCTCCTGGTCCTTCAAGGAGTTCTCTGATGCCAGGCACCTGCACCCCAACACACACACACCCCCTCGGGACCTTCCTCTGGGCCCTTCTCTGCTCATCACTACTCTGGCCTTACTGCATTTTCCCCACATACTCTTCAGTGAGCTGCCTTAGGAAAAGGACTGTATCTTATTCATCTCTTATTAAACTCCCTGTGGCTCAGTTTCCTAATCAAGGATATGGGAATACTAATCCTAATCGTATTTAGCATGTAGGGTTGTGTCAAGCTAGTTCAGCTGAAGAACTGAGAACTGTGCCTAGCACAGGGTAAGTGCTCAATCAGAGAAGAGAGGCTCCGGGACATTTAAAAGGGCACTGCAGTTGGAGTCAGAAGACCCGGGTCAAGTCCCCACTTCTAGCAATGTGACCTTGGGTAGGTCGTTAACCACATCTGTAAAAAAATTGGTAATAAAAATATTTTTTGTGTTTCTATAATAGTCCTATCACATTTCCCACAATACACTTTCCTCTGGGGAACGTCTCGGACGTTTGTGAGCCTTACGATGCAATGTGGGGGCCCCGGGGCCTTCCACTGCCCGCACCTCCTAACACTGTGCTCATGTTCTCAGGGATGCCATGGCCACACTCAGACCTGGCCCCATCAGCTCTGAGAGGTACTTTCCCTCTTCCTGCTGCTCCTCCACCTCTCTTTAACAATAAAAGTGATACTTGATAATATTAATATGGTAAACGTATCCTGAGCTTCGTGGCCTACAGAACACATTCCATCTCTCACTCTGGTTGGAGCCTTATCCTGAGCTGGTGCAATGAGTGGTTCGTGTGCCTCACAGAGGCCCAAGGCTATGTGCTGGGAAGTGGAGAAGCCAGGCTTGGGCTTCCTGCTTGCCCTGGGGTGCGGCCCCAGCTCCCCCATCCACTGGCCTGATAGAGGGCTGCCCTGAGGCCCTGGCACCCTGCACTCTGGGATGGGGCTTGGGGCCTTTCAGCACCCTGCGTTTCAGAAGACATCCATGATGCGCCAGGCGTCTTAGCTGAGAGAGCCCATTTCCTGCCTCCCAGGAACTTCAGATATAAGCCAGCCCCTGGCTCAGACACACCTGACCTGCAGGATTGGGGACTGAGAACCACTGCATGTGAACAGGTGGAACTTACAGCAGGCTGAGTGGAAATAGATTTTAGGGGTGAGGTCAAAGAATATTACTTCTAGACGTTTCCATGCCCTATCTTATTGCATAAGTCACTAGGCACTGGGAGAAGAATGAATGAAAAGCACTTCCTACCCCACCTTTGTCTTCAATGAAAGGACCTTGTCTACGTACCTTACATCTTTAACTTTCTAGAACTCTGGACAGCTTTACTACCAGGCTCTTGCGAGGGAAAGATGTTTGAGGAACTGAATGCGCCCCTCCTCCCTCCCACCGTGCCCCCCAGGCCCCCAAACTCTTGGGTTAGCTGGGGAGCTGGGGGCATTCAGACCCAGACAGAGGCAGGTGGGGTAGATAGGTGATGGGGGTATCACAACCTTGATGAGTTAGGGGACATTCTCACCTAAAGAGAAAGGACAAGCCCTGAAGAACCGTCATCTTCACTGCTGCTGCAGCGAGTCCCTGTGTATTTGTCCCCTTCCTCTTGGGGCATCCTTCAGCCCTACCCCTCCCCTGGTGACTCTGGAGCACGCAGAACTGATCTGTTTATATCCTGATTCTTCTCACTGTCACTTTTTTGTAATATCCTAGATCTGAAGGAGAAGTTCCTCAGATTAAAGTGGTTAAGAATTTGGACTCTGGAGCCAAATTTTCCTACTCTGCCCTTAATGGCTGTGTGACCCCAGGCAAGCTACTTAACCTCCCTGCCTCAGTTTCCTTTTCTGCAAAACAGGGACTACTAATAATAACTACTTGGCATTATTGTGGAGAAGACTGAATAAGTTCAGATAGGTAAAGAACTTGGAGCAGTGCCTCGCACCTGGCGCACAGTGAGCCTGTCCACGTGACAACAGGTGTTAGCATGAGCTTCCAGACTTGGCAGACAGCAGTGGCTCTCAAACTTGAGCAGGCACTAGCAGCTCCTGGCGAGCTTGTTAAAACTGTTTGTTGGACCCCATCCCCAGAAAGTCTGGCGTGGGGCCCAAGAATTCGCATTTCTAACAAGTCCTAGGTGATGGTGGCTTGGGGATTGCACTTTGAGAACCACAGCTGAAAGTCATGCACATGGCTGTTATTAGTTTCAGTATATAGTTCCAATTAGTATCAGTACCCTCATTCAGAGAGCAGCTTCCGTCCGCCAGGCACGGTGAGCTCCTTTCCCGTAGGAAGTCCTGGTGCTGAAGGTTGAACACTTACCGAAGCTCTCCCAGCCAGGTGAGGGCGGATGCACAGAGACAGTGCTTGAACCCAAGTTAGTCTCACTCCAGAACAACTAAACTCAACTGTCAGCCGGCCTCGGGTCTTCATCCTACCGGTATTTATGGAGTGTCTGATAAAACCTGCCTGCGTAGAGCACCACGGAGTTCACAAAGCAATTTCAAATACATTTCCTCATTTCATACGCACAAAAGCTTGTGAAGTAGGTCAAGTATTAATATCGCCTGCTTTTACAAGGAAAATGTAATTACAGGAGGAAACGCTGGCCGGGAGCAAACCAGCGTCTATCTGGTTCAGGGCTGCACAGCTAGTGGGTGGTGGAGCCCACCTGGCCTCTGAGCCCGTGCCGCCTCCCCACCTCTGGGAGGTCCTGGGGGCCACGGTTACGGTGCAGCCGGCATAGATGCTGCCTGAACATCCGCCCTCTGGCAGAGAGG